GCGGCGGCCGCGTCTTCTGCGTCGGCGAGAGCGAGGTGGGCGGGCGCGGGGCGCGGGTGGGGCCGGAGGCGCGCGGGGGGCGGGGCCGGCGGGAGGCGCGGCCTCGGGGCTCAGCCAGCCGGAAGCGCTCGCGGGCCCCGCGCTGTACCGGGGCTGCGCGCGTGGGGGGGGAGGCCTCGGGCTTGGGGGTCCCGGGAGGGCTGAGCTCGGGGGCCCGGACTGGGGGGACCAGAGGTCCGGAACTGCGACAGGCGGCTTGCCGGGTCGAGTGTATGGGGAAGATTAGCACCCGAACGCCCAGGGCACTGTCCACTCGGAACGTCTTTTCTGACATCCTCTCCTCTACTGTGGGTTCTACAGGTTCAAGTTTATGAACCTGAATTCACAGAAAGACAACAAACCCTCAGTCTTATGTCAGATATCTCCTAAGTGACAAAAACGGCTCAGTCAGTCGCGAGTTTTGCCGACCAGGGCACCCCGCTGATTGTCTTTGCATCTATTTTATTTCGGTTTGCACACGGCCTTTGTTTTTTGGCTTAGTACTTAGCCCGATGGCTGCAAGTTCAGCAGGCCCTTTCACGTGGCGGTCGTTTAATCTATGCGAAACCTCCGTTCCCTTTCTGGAAAAGTGCGGTGCTGCGCAGATTTCCACTGGCTTCACTAACACTGTTTTCGTTGACATTTAAAAGTGTTTGCTTTTAATCGGTTTCCCTTTCCTTTTCGTTCCGGAAAGTTGGCTCACTTGGCGTTAAAGTAAGGTTTCCCATGTGTGCGAAACCGTTTCACCTGCGTGGGAATTAAAATCTTATCTCAGGTTGAATACTTTGTTGTATGCTTAGGTACGGAATTATACTGTGCTACTAACAAATCAAAATTACCCTTATTTGTTAGTATAAACAGAGAATGAGTAACTTTTCTCAGTTGTGAAAGAGTATGCAGCTACTATCACCTAGATGCAAGACGTTTAGACATTCATTCTGCCTGAGGGTCTAATTAGGGCTTAATTGTCCAAGGAACCTGGATTGAGAGAATTAACAAAATAAAGAAAAATTGAGGGGTGCATTTTTCTATTGCAGTTTCCAATCTGGACTCATTTACTTAAAATAGAATCCTTTAGATTAAGGATTTTGGACATTCAAAAATATCGAGATGTAAGTATTTTTGATTTTCTTGGAAGACAGTTTTACTTTTGAACATCTCTATGACTTTATTGGTCTTCTTTTTAACTACGGTACCTATAACTAGTGCTTCTCAGCTCTTTCTGATTGCTCCAGCCTGGTGTGTGGGCACCCCGGCCACACTAGCCTTGGCCTTCGGGGATTCTGTAACCTGATGTGCTCTTGCTATTTGAAGTTAACTTTGCCTCATCCTAGAGCTTTGCTGAAATATTGTCTCAAGGAAATGTTCCCTCATTCTTCAGACTAGATGGGACTGGCTTGCTTTGTGCCCAGATAAACTTTAAATTATCCTTCATATTTCCAGTTTTTTATCTTTTTCTCCCTAGGAATTGGGTCTCTTTCGCTTAGCAGCTTGCCCTGTGATAATCAGTACTTCAATGAATGATGGAGTGGTTAGTGGTTGTGGCCTGCGATTGGAAAGCTTGGCTATTTGTGATTGGCTGCTGTTAATTCAAGATCTAAAATATTGTGAGGCTAATGATCTGGTTCGCTAAATACCTTATTGTCAGTCTACCTAGACTGAAGTAACTTTATAGAAATCAATCTTATGACTTTGTTGTCTCCACATTTTGCATGCTTAGAATCCGATAAATAGAATGTGTATGTTTATATAATTGAAGGTCCCACAGAAATTGATAAGTATAACCAAAGAGTTTATAGAAACTGGAATTTTTTTAAATGTTTATTTATTTATTTTAGAGAGGGGGAGGGGCAGAGAGATTGAAGAGAATCCCAAGCAGGCTCTGCAGAGCCCATCACAGGGCTCGAACCTACGAACCTGTGAGATCATGACTTGAGCCAAAATCAAAAGCCAGCTGTCCAACTGACCACCCAGGCGCCCCCAAACTGGAAATTTAAGGTTTTTGTTGAATATGTACATATTCTGTGTTTGAGTAAGATGGACAATCTGTTTTTTGTTGTTGTTTTCGTAAAAAAATGTTTTTAAATGCTTATTCATTTTTGAGAGAGAGAGTGAGAGAGAGCAAGCAGGGGAAGGGCAGAGAGAGAGAGAGGGAGGCAGAGTCCAAAGCAGGCTCTGCGCTGTCAGTACAAAGCTGGACACGGGTTGGAACCCACAAACCTCGAGATTGTGACCTGAGCCGAAGTTGGATGCTCAACTGACTGAGCCACCCAGGCACCCCTGTTTTTTGTAGTTAACTGCTATATTAATAATATAGTTTACCCATGTAGAGGAGTTTTTTCTCCTTCAAATTTTCATTTGTTAATTAGCTCAGTAGATATTTATTAATACTGTACTATGTGCCAAGTTATTAGGCCAGGTAAAAATGCCTTTTGATCTCCCAACAAGGGCGGATTTGAACTGGATTTGTGTGGACCTTGACCATTTTGCTATTTTTTTGTTTTTTATTAAAATTTTTTTTAATGTTTATTTTTGAGAGAGAGAGAGAGAGAGACAGAACACAAGTGGGGGAGGGGCAGAAAGAGAGGGAGACACAGAATCCGCAGCAGGCTCCAGGTTGTCAGCACAGAGCCCGATGCCAGGCTCGAACTCACGAACCACGAAATCATGACCTGAGGCGAAGTCAGACACTCAATCGACTGAGGCACCCAGGTGCTCCTGAGCTTGACCGTTTTCTGGTGGTGGTGACAGGGCTCACCTCCTGCAGCCTTAGAGTTCAGCTTTTCTCCTCTGGATATGCCTTGATTTTAGTGGGTCAAAGCCTTTTAAAATTAATTTACTGGCCTTTTGGAGGGATTTCAGGAAGGAGAGCACAGGTAAATGGACATACCCAATCTGATAACCAATGTTGATGTTATAATGGCTGGAGGAAGTGGAAGAACAGGGAAGAACAGGTCTTCAGGTTTCTGTTGGTAATGGGCTTCGTTTCACGGCCACGTACTTCTGAGCCTCCTCACCTTTATTTATTTATCTTTTACATTTATTTATTTTTGAGAGACAGAAAGAGACAGTGTGAGCAGGGGAGGGGCAGAGAGAGAGGGAGACACAGAATCCGAAGCAGGCTCCAGGCTCCAGGCTCCGAGCAGTCAGCACAGAGCCCAATGCGGGGCTCGAACCCACGAGCCGCGAGATCATGACCTGAGCTGAAGTAGGACACTTAACCGACTGAGCCACCCAGGCGCCCCAAACCTCCTCATTTTTAAATGGGCTTCTGAGTTGTACCTTGGAGAGCTCTCTGTACTCTAAGCAGTAAGGAATGGTGGGGGTGAGCCCAGCTTCAGAGTGAATTGTTGATAACAAATATCTAGAGATGTTAAAGTTGTCATGAATCATAGAAGGGATGTTGCAGGTGTTTAATAGCCACAGTTCAACAAGAAACACGGGGTTTATGTGGTCTGCAGGAGAGCATCTGATAAACTTGTATTGATCTCACCTGGGGTTCCAGAGGAAGGGCTGTCCTGGATGTTGATCTAAGTGGCTGTTGTGATTTGAAGTGATACTGAATCCCCTCCCCTTTTTTTGTGTTTCTTTCCCTCTATGCAGTCCATTGATGACTTGAACAAATGGGCCCTGTTTCTTGTTTCTCCTTTTATACTCGAAGCAGAACACATCGCATTTGTGACTGAGAGCATCTGGGTGCAAGGTGAGACTTTACAGAGACCATCTTCCTCTTCAGAAAGTGTGAGTAGCATGTTTTTCACTTGTGTCCCATAAGAAAACTATGTCTTAACCAAAAGTAAATTTGTTTTTTCTTTTTCATTTTCTTTAAAAAAATTATGTATTTTTTTTTGAAAACAATTTTTTAATGTTTTATTTATTTTTGAGAGAGAGAGAGAGGGGAAGAGCGAGCGAGCAAGCAGGGGAGGGGCAGAGAGAGAGGGAGACACAGAATCCGAAGCAGGATCCAGGCTCTGAGCTGTCAGCTCAGAGCCCCACGCACGGCTCAAACTCACGAATGGTGAGATTATGACCTGAGCCGAAGTCGGACACTTAACTGACTGAGCCACCCAGGTGTTCCTAAAACAATGATTTCAGTGTATTACAGTTATAAATCACATGATCAATTAGTTTGAATCATGAAATTGCTAATACTTGGCTTTTTTTTTAAACCTATGAAGAACCCATTTGTGGTAACCTAAGTGTTCTACTGTGGGCTTTTAAGCCCTATTTTTTATTTTTTTATTTTTTTAACGTTTATTTATTTTTGAGACAGAGAGAGACAGAGCATGAATGGGGGAGGGTCAGAGAGAGAGTGAGAAAGAATCCGAAACAGGCTCCAGGCTCTGAGCTGTCAGCACACAGCCTGACGCGGGGCTCAAACTCACGGACCAAGAGATCATGACCTGAGCCGTAGTCGGACGCTCAACCGACTGAGCCACCCAGGCGCCCCAGGGATCACTTTTAATGGCATTTCTGAATAATATTTATCCTGTTTACAAGCTCAAATGTCTTAGAATATTTTGTTTTATTTTTGGACTCTAGCTACCCAGACTTGGATTAATCCTAATCAAAATGTACTCTCGTTGTTGGTTCACACGTGGCCCTCGTTCACTCATGACTTTGAAATTTGTATGATTAATACCCACAAATTTACCACTCAATATGGAAATGGAACACGTACCTATGTGGTCCCCTGGAGTCTATCCACCTGTCTACCTGCCCTGCCCCTCCCTCCCCAGACCAGTTTCTTTTTAGATATGTAAGTCATCTAGGTGAACAAACACCATCTTTCTGAATACCCACATAATTCTTATAAATTACTATTTTTTATTTTTATTTATTTTTATTTTAGGGTGAGAGAGAGAGAGAGCGAGAAGGTGGGGGACAGGGGCAGAGGGAGAGAGGGAGAGAGAATCCCAAGTAGATTCCTTGCTCAGCACAGAGCCTAAGGTAGGGCTTGATCCCACAGCCCTGGGATTATGACTTGAGCCAAAATCAAGAGTTGGATGCTCAACCAATTGAGCTACCCAGGTGCCCCAATTTTATAAATTATCAAGCTTATAGTAAGCTTGATGTTTTCTTATATATGCTGATGTTTATATGTATATTTTGTAAGATTTCATCTTAAAACCAAGGCCAGCACAAAATATGACTGCTGTGCTGTTAACTTCCTAAATCGTTACTTAACTGTACTTTTTTTTTTTTAAGTTTATTTATATATTTTGAGAGCGAGAGGGAGAGCACACAAGCAGGGGAGGGGCGGAGAGAGAAGCAGATAAAATCCCAGGCAGGCTCTGCACTGTCAGCTCAGAGCGTTATATGGGGCTTGAACTCGCAAACTGTGAGATCCTGACCTGAGCCGAAAACGAGAGTCAGATGCTTAACCGACTGAGCTACCCAGGCACCCCTTACTTGTATTATCTTTATAGGGTTAAGAGATGTATAGCATCTGAAGGAACACAGTTACTGTGCCATGTAGGGTAGAGGCTAAGCTACTATATCAGAGACCCAGAAATGCAGCTATGCAAATAAGCTAGAATTTTCTTTCTTTCTCGAGAGGTGGTTCTGCTCTGTAAGACCATCCAGGGACCTAGTTCCCTTCTGTTTTATTGCTCTGTTATCTGCCCTCTGCCAGCCTTGTTCTCTCTCTTGGTAGAGACTGGTTCATACTGCCCCAGCCACCTCTGTTAACCTCATGCACATCTAGCCCTCAGGATGGGGGAATAGAGAAGGTGGGAGCCAGCCAGCTTCCTCTTTAAAAACTGTGACTCAGAAGTTTCACGGGTCACTTCTGCTCCTGTCCCGTCAGCTGCAGGGCAGGCTGAGAACCGCAGTCCTAGCTGGACAGCCACGGGTTGAAGGGAAGAAGACAGACTAGAAGATACTGGGAGATAATTAGCATTTCTCACAGTTACCATTTCATTTAATATATAGTCTAACAAAGATTTAATTAAGATCTTGCTTAATGGCGGGGTGCCTGGGTGGCTCAGTTGATTGGGCATCTGACTTCAGCTCAGGTCATGATCGCACGGTTCGTGGGTTCGAGCCCCGCGTCGGGCTCTGTGTGACAGCTCGGAGCCTGGAGCCTGTTTCCGATTCTGTGTCTCCCTCTCTCTCTGCCCCTCCCATGCTCATGCTCTCTCTCTTTCAAAAATAAACATTAAAAAAAACCCAAAAATTAAAAAAAAAAATCTTGCTTAATGGCAATACCTTACTTATTTCTTGATTTTCTGAGGTAGAAAGATGCCTGCCCACCAGGGAAGATAGCTACTATCCAGTTAATTCATTTATTTATGATTAGAGGCTTGGTTGGTAGGTCCTGCAACCAGAAGCTGGAGACATTTAAAGCTAATTTTTGGACCACCCTATTACACCGAATTCCATTTTATAAGTTGGTCCTTTGTAAGGAATTGATCTCGGGCCCCTGGCTGGCTCAGCCGGTAGAGCATGCAGCTCTTGATCTCAGGGTCATGAGTTCAAGCCCTGTGTTGGATATGGAGTCTACTTTAAAAAAAGGACTTGAGGGGAACCTGGGTGTCTCAGTTGGTTAACGTCTGACTCTTGATTTCAGCTCAGGTCATGATCTCTCCGTCCTGAATTTGAGCACTTGAGTGCCTTGCTGGGGCTTGGGATTTTCTCTTTCCCTCTTTCTCCTTGCACCTCCCCCACGTGCGCGCACGCGTGCACTCTCTCTCTCTCTCTCTCTCTCTCTCTCTCTCTCTAATAAACTTAAAAAAAAAAATAAAAAAGGAGTTGATCTTGTATCTCACTGTCCTCATTCAGGTTGATTGCTTAATGGGATTTCGCATGGGGGGCTGTTATCAATCTATTTTGCACTTAATTCTAAAGTCATTTGAGTTTAACAGGACCCTAAGATACTAAGTTGAAAATATAAATGTAAGAAAAGACTTTTGAACTTAATGAAAAGTTACATTCTTCCATATTCCTAGGATTATAGAACTCCTACAGATACTTAAAATATCTTGTTTTTCTTTTTTATTAAAAAAAAAATTTTTTTTTTTTTAACATTTATTTATTTTTGAGACAGAGAGAGACAGAGCATGAACGGGGGAGGGTCAGAGAGAGGGAGACACAGAATCTGAAACAGGCTCCGGGCTCTGAACTGTCAGCACAAACTCACGGACCGTGAGATCATGACCTGAGCCGAAGTCGGCCGCTTAACCAACTGAGCCACCCAGGCGCCCCTTAAAATACCATTTTGAATTTGGGATAGCTCAAATGGTTTTCGTTTGTGGTCATTCTATAGACCGTAACAACAAATAAGTGAATCTTGGGAATTCAGTTTTTCAAAAAACAGCATTCATATATTCATATTTTCACTTACTTAGTCATTCATTAACCTGTTTATTGACCATCTACTATGTTCCAATTATTTTGCTAGGTGCTGTAACAAATACCAGTGGAGCATGATACATTCAGCTCAATTTTCAATATCTTCTGTACTGATATCAGCAGTCCTATTTAGTAAGAATTGATGACCCAAAAAACTTACATAATTCTTTGCTGCAGAAAATTCACTTATGTTCCTTGTACTCTTACCGAGGCATTCATTCACTCATCCAAGGTTTATCAAGTGCCTATTATATGCCGGCTTGTGTGCCAGAGCTGGAGTTATGTGTCATGTGGAGGTGACAGATGCATTCAGAGATGATGGTCCCTGTCATCTTAAGGAGCTCACAGTGTGGGAGGGAAGGCAGCTAAGTAAAGGAACAATTAAAGTTTCAACATGATAAGTGCAGTGAGAAGGCATGGATAGGGGTGGTGGGCAACCTGTCTACGTAGGGGTGAGGACAGGAAGGACCTTTCAGCAGAGGTCATGTCTGAGCCTTACAGGAAAAAACAGGAATTTGGTGCAGAGGAAGGAAGGGCTTCCCAGGCAGAACAGCAAGGGCACAAGCACACAGAAGTTTGCACCTGAGGCAACCACACATGGTCCAGTAAAATTGGAGTCTCTGGTGACATGAGTTGGGGGAGTGGTCCAAGATAAGGACAGAGGGGAAAGATGGGGCTGGACTGCTGTATGGGAAATTACCTGGGTGCAGCAGTAGCTTCTAGGAACATTGCAAAGGCAAGGGTGCCTGGCTGGCAGTCAGTGGAGCACACGACTCTCGATCTCAGGGTTGTGAGTTTGAGCCCCACATTGGGTGTGGAGATTACTTAAAAAATAAAATCTTAAACATTGCCGGGCAGGTTCTCTCAACAGTTACAGAGTCGAGAAGCTTGCAGATCAAGTTAAGATGCATAATTCACAGCTTATTAAATAATTTTGGAACATGCACAAGGAACACCTGGAGAGATTAGGGGTCAGTTAACACTTAGGATCAGGGGCCTGCAGTGTGGAAGGACTGTACACCTGAATCCTGGGCTGTGCAGTGTTCACACATCCTGCCTCTTTGCTGCACCAGCCTTCCTCACCAAAGGCGTAGGTACAGGAGCCAGAGATGAGGTTAAAACTGGGGGCTCAGCAGATGGAGGGTGCATGGGGCCAGCCACACTTGTTCTCTTGGAGAGACTCAGGACGTGTATGTGCGTGGGGCCAGCCACACTTGTTCTCTTGGAGAGACTCAGGACATGTGTGCCTGGAAGTGCTGTGCCATGCCACCTGTGCTTCTTATCTGTTTTTAGAGACTATACATGGGGCCCTAATGGGTGGCTGATTTAGGGATGATATACTGCCAATCTGGAGGTGGTGTAATTTGTGTGTTAAATTTTTTTTTTTA